GACCTAGGCCATAGTCTGATGCCCCCACCTCACACAGGTGGCAGGGACCAGGGACCTAGGCCTCCAGACAAGCTGGAGTAGAACCAGGACTCGAACTCAGGCACTCCACTATGGAATGTGGGCATCTCAACTGCTATATCAAGCGCTTGTGTTGTCCACGAGTAAAATCCAGAAGTCCCTAGCTTTATCACGTTCTGTGCCTTGGATCACCCAACCCCTCAAGAAGCCTTCAAGCCTTGGGCCTCCAGTCCTCGAGAATTCTTTTATAACTCAACCTGGGATGCCCAACAAGGATCCTAATTCCTGCCTGTAATCCGTTCTCAATGGTGATTCCTTGCAGAAACTTTCCTTTCACTTAGCCACTGACTTTAAAACACTGTGTTCAGTATTATTAAGCGTAAACTATCAACATGAATTCCCCCCAACAAAACAAAAGCTAGGAATTTCACAGTGATCCACATCAAAAACAAACAACAAACAAACTCTGGTATTTAGCCACACACGGGTCTTCAAAAAGTTGAAGAATGCACATTGTGGAAAAAAAAAGCATGTATTTCAAGACTTTTTTTTTCCACCAAAACAAACTTGTAAGGAATTCTCTATTATGATAATGAGTGCATAGAGTTAACTTGGGGAAATAGTTTTAAAAGCATTCAATTTTTCTTCTACAAAACTCCAAATATAATTACTATTTTTAAGATTGAGCAAAGTCTTCCAAAAACTGTTTTCCAAGCACATACTCCAGCACTACCCTCAGAATAGTTTTACGTTCCTTGACATGTGATGAAATGCAGTTCAGCTTTCCATGTGTGTTAAACACGTTTACTCGCAGTGGTCAGCGGGATGCCGCCGCAGACCTACGATTTGTAATCTTCTCTCAACAGTCGCTGGCCACTGCTCTTCATCTTCCCGCCAAAGAGGAGGCTGCTCCTCCTTCCTGGCTCTTAAAAAATTCACCCAGCGGGGCTTGTGGTGAATGCTCTGCCTTGGTGTTCCCATGGGGTGTCCTGCCAGCCTACCTCCCCGCAAAGCCCCCTCTGAGAATGCAGCCTGGCTCCGACGCATCCCAAGAGAGCCTGCGAAGAGTGAGCTGGCCACAGCAGCACCTAGGGGCCACACCAAGGCCTTCCTGTGTGTTAACTCACAGAGGGAGGAGGAACCGAAACAAATGCACACTGCTAACTGCCGGAAGCTCCTTTGCTTTCTCAAGTCTTTTTTTTTCCTGGCAAAACTCGCAAAGGCAGCATTTTTATGGGCATTGCCTCTCTTTGCTCTAAAAGTAGTTTGGAAATATATTGGCTACTTGTGCGTTTGCCTGGTTTCTGGTTAAGAGACTGAATTATATGGGTGTCGACCATGTGATCTTAACATGTTACATGACAGCTGATTAAACTCAGAACAAACCAAATCTTTACTTCGCGTTCAGGCACAGGGCTCGTGGAAGAATTCTTCTCTTATCTTGAGGGATTTTTAAATTTGTCAAAAAAAAAAAAAAACACTGAAACAATTTGGGTGACAAACTGTGGAACGTGTGGATTAAAAAAAAACCTTTTGACCTTTCTAAGTTGATTTATGCAATGAACTTTTCACTTCTCCATGTTTAAAATGTTGTTAAAAGCCTTTCAGCTGACACTTTGCTGATTTTAAGGAAAATCTCCCATTTAATAGGATTACAGACACTAACCACGATTACTTTCCCAGCTTACACACACAATTATTGATCGTTTGATTAGCACGAAAGGGGCTGGGGATGCACAGGTAAGTGAGTGTGAGTTGGGTCAAGGGTCCCAGGGTGTGGGTGCAGGTGCAGCCCCGGCCTTTTACGTCCGAAGGCTCAGGAAAGCAGGGGCAGGGTCACCCTCCAGCTGAGGAGAGAAGGGGTAAGATCGGCATTAAGCATCTATTCTAACTCAGGGGGTTCCCTTCCACGCACTGCCTCTCCATATTGCATCCTTGCAGGCCATGTGCAAGAACCCAGCATGCAGTCACACCAGGACCACTCAAAGCCAAAACAAGCACGGGGAGATATCAACAAAGACACAGATATCAACACATGGGCACGGATAGGAGATTCCGATCCCAGCACCTGCCTGCTCTCCAAAGTGTCTACACCCCATTAAATGTCTCGGGGACTTCTTTGGGTTGTGAAAGAAAAGATGGAGAATAAACCCACTGAAACCCAGCCCATGTATGTCAGCCGCCAACCAGCCAACCCCGAGCAGTGCTGAGGGCTCCTGAGTCACGGGTTGTTGTGTCTTCCCCTGCGTTTGTGATGTCTCTGCTGCTGGGTGCTGATGCTGCTTCGTTTAAACATCCTAAGGGTGTCTGCGGATTCTAGGCGCCTCATGACAGATCTCTCCACTGACGTCTGTCTTGCTGTGTCACTGCGATGCTGTTCCTCTGGGGTCTCGGCTCTATTACTTCGCTTTAACATGAAAGTGCCATGTCCGTGGGCTGGGCATAATGCAGTCTGGAGGGCTAAGGAGTGACACGGGGTCCATGGAACAGATGGAGAAACTCCCGGGCAGAACACTTCAAAACCTTGAGGATGTGTTTTGCTTTTTGCGAAGCATGAACATGTGTGATGGGTCACAGGAGGTCTGTGAGATGGCTTTCCTCAGAGTGTAACGTGACACTATTCTGCTTCAGTGTTAATGGTGCATCTTTTCAGTGAGAGACACTGTTGTCCCTTCCCACGCCAGACGCTTCAGAGAAGGGCAGCGAGTGCAGCTGCTGCTGGTGACACTGGCATGACATGGCAGAGTGTCAGTTTGTGCCCTGGCCACTCTTACTTCCAACCCAGCTCCCTCTATCGACGCACCTGGGAGCACAGCAGTGTCCAGTATGTGGGTTCCTGGCATCCACAGAGGAGCTCAGGATGGATGGAGCTCATGGCTCTTCCACCGGGGCCAGACTGGCTGTTGCAGCCATTTGGGAAGCAAACTGGAGGACAGAAACTCTCTATGCCTCTATCCTCTCTCTATGCCTCTGCCTTCCCTTCTATGTCCATCTGCCTTTCAAATAAATAAACGCACCCTTTTTAATAATTAAAAAAAAAGTTTCACAGGCTTTATCCTCTATCCTCTGTTGTAAAAATCAAGTTTCAAAAACTAGTAAGACCTGCTTCTTGGTGTTGCAAAATAGTACACAGGAAGTGAACAACTGTAGCTTTTATACTTGATAAATTTAAGAAATCATTGCTTGGGATACACTGTATGTTTCTCTGAGAAGGAAGAACAATGTTGCCAATGAAACCAGCAGCAGCTCAACAAAACATCTTCAGACGGGGGCTTTCACATTGTGGAAAGGGAGCGACTCACCAGTGATTAGAAATGGGCGTGGCACGCTTCCTTTTGCTGGTTGTTGACAGAATGCCCTGCACATATTTCACGGTTCATAATATGAAGCACACTGACCCTGAAGTAGCATGTTCTAGATTATGAGCTTAAACTTCCAGGAAATTACACTTGCAAGGCCACTGGCTATCGTTCACTGGCCAAGAGCCATTCTGACAAAGATCAAACAGCCAAAACTTCCGAGTCTTTTTGCAATCTTGTATCCAAAACACTACTTGATTAGTTATACAATTCTTCTTCCAGAACAAAGTCTACAGGTGTACCATTATTCCTACATCTTGAAGCCACAGGTAACCTTTCTAACGACGATCTCATATATTTCTACTTATTACCCAAAGAACAGATCACTAGGGAAAAAAAATTCCATGTACCTATCATTTTGTTAACCTAACTCTCCTGTTAAAAGTTTACATATGCAAAACACTCCAGTGGTGATAAAAAGCATTCTCCAGAGCCCACACACTTGCCTTTATCACAGACCAAAAAGTTCACCGTGCCCTTTTTTGCATTGGCTATCAGGAAACTCTGACATAAATGTACTACACAATTACAACCACATACTCATAATACCAGTTGAATAGCCTTTACCAGAAATGCTTGGAATCAGAATTATTTCCTACTTGGGAGGTGTTTTTTTCTCTTTTTAATTTTGTCAATATCTTAGAAGAGTTTATCAGGAAGGAAAACATCTCAAATCCAAATTCCAAACATCTAAAAAACACATTGGCCCCCAAAATTACACTTTTGTAACACCATGGGGGGGTCTGAGATGCTCAATCTGACATTTGGTGGCCTTATAAGCTTTGTTGAGTGGCTTTTTTTTTTCTTCTTTTTCTTTTTAAAGATATGCTAGGAACAGTGAGGAGCTCATGACACAGTGCTCCTGGCCCTTGCTGGGCTGGGTCCTATCGTGTGGCACTTGCTGCTGGTCCGAACAGAGGCTCCATGGGAACTCCCCAGGCATTTCCCTTCACAGGCACCTGGGACCTCTCCTCCAGTACTAAAAAAGAAGCCTCAAATCCCATCAAATAATGTATTTACACTAAAGAGGACCACTGCAGACTGCCAAGTCATGCTGCTAAGATGAATCTTCTGATTTCTTGAGCACACACCTGGTAGCAACATGTTCCTCCTGTCTCCAACAGCTTGGTTAACTCTTTTGATGAATGACAAAAGCAGTTCAGGCTGGATCCCTTCCCCTCCCTTCCTTCTTTTCCCCCCATATTCATTTACTTTTATTTGAAAGGCAAAGTTACAGAGAGAGAGAGAGAGAGAGAGAGAGAGAGAGAGAGAGTCTTTCATCTACTGGTTTGCTTCCCAAATATCAGCAATGGCCAGAATGAGGCTGACATGAAGCCAGGAGCCAGGAGCTTCTTCTGAGTCTCCCATGTGCGTGCGTGGGCCCAAGCACTTGAGCCATTCCCCACTGCCTCCTCAGGTAATTAGCAGGGAGCTGGATTGGAAGTGCAGCTGCCGGGACTTGAATTTGCAGCTGGAAGCTTAGCGTACTATGCCACGGCCCTGGTTCTGGGATCCCTCTCTTAAGGGAGATCACTTAACTTGCTCTGGGCCTCTTTGTTGATATGCTGCTTAGTTTTCAGTTTAAGTGATTTTTTAAAAATTTGTTCTAGCTTTTTTTTTTAATAGGGGAGAGTGCAAACACAGTCCCCCACTACCACCAATTATGCAGTCGAGCGGACCACATTTGGGGAAATCGCGGGGGTGAGTAAAGCCCAAGGGCAGTGGATGAGCCTTGCCCTGGAAAGATCACCGGCGTGATCACAGTATCTTCCCTGCCAGATAAGTATTAGTTCAAATCATTTATAAGAACTGGTGGCTACACCCATAAAAGAGATACTGCAGATTTCTAACAAGTCAAGTATGCCTGACTGATGACAAAGAAGAGAGACAGAAGACACAGCAAGCTTTTGAATTTTAACTTTCATCAGGCATGGCGGTGCTTTGGGAGACAAAGACTTTCGCATCTTTTACTTTGTGACATTGTTTATAAACTTCTTTCAAAAGCAGGAGTGTCTGTGTGCACACGCGTACATGCTACTCCAAATTTCCCAGTTAAGGCTCCAGCCGACCGTGCACATGCTTTAATGCCTTTGGGAGGAGGGCTGTGAGACCACACTCATATTCAGTCCGTAAACGACCTTCAACTTCAGACACACTGTTCGCAGCCTGCCAGCTCATAACTGACGTCAGAAAGCATGAAAAAGCTTCCATTTATTTAAAAAAAAAAAACAAAAACCCAAACATTCTCTGTGTCTCACCACAATGCGATCCTGGAAGCCACATCATAAAGCAGGCATCAGACCTTTCCGTAGGAGCAATGTTGTAACTTCCGGGGTAGGTGCCTGCCTCGGGAGTGAGAGCTAGGGTTCAGCAACAATCCAACGCAAAGCAAAGATGTAACAACTCCAGAGCTTCACAGTAGCAATGCTAGACAAAGGAGGCCGCAGATATGACACATGCGCTTAAATATATCCTGTGTGCTACTTACATGAGAACCCAAGATTCTATAGGAAAAAAAAATTATGCAACTCTGGGAAATTTTTATAGATTTGACCTTAAGGGCCAGTGCCAGGGCACAGTGGGCAAAGGTAACACCTGTAAATGCTGGCATCCCATATGGGTTCGAATCCCAGCTGCTCCACTTCCCTGATAACGTGCCTGGGAAAGCGTCAGAGGACAGCCCAAGTGCTTGGGCCCCTGCATCCATGTGGAAGACCTGGGAGAAGCTCCTGACTCCTGGCTTCAGACTGGCCCAGTTCTGGCTATTTCAGCCATCTGGGAAGTAAGCCAGTGGATGGAAGATCTCTCTGTTTCTTTCTGTAACTCTGCCTTTCAAATAAATAAATAAAATCTTTTTAAAAAATGGCCTGAAATAAGCTGCTAATAACTAACATTCTACTTCAGCTTTTCAAAAAACAAACAAACAAACCCTAAAACGGCTTTGCTGACAACCCAGCCCCAAGTCTTTCTTGAAGTGAACATTTTCTTTGGAGCTCCACCATTCCATCAACCACACAACCATTCCAAAAAAACAGGAGCCAGGGGATCCAGATTGTTCAATTAAGTGTTCGGGTGTCTGTTGGGCTCTATTGTGGCATTTAAAGCTTTATTCACATGCCATTTAAAAACCTGGCTTTAAAAAAAAAAGACAAGAATATCAGACATTTCTCACATAATTGATATAACTGGCACAGAACAGCACCCAATCTGTACTCACTCCGTTGGCTGCTCTGTCTCCCAGTGCATTTGTTAGCAGGCTGTGAACAGGGGTGGGAAGAAGTCAGATTCTCACATCCGTGCTGACTTCAGGTATGGGGCAGGCAGATGGCCACTTCGAATGTCAGGCTCCGGGCTCCATTCACACGGTGTGAGGTTCCTGCTTTCAAGCCATGGAACATTCTAGACCTGACCTCAGCATCAGCCCCTACCCTTATACTGGGGAACCTTGGGTAGAAGTAGGGGAAAGGTGACTACAGACTTGATGCAAAGTGGACTTGCAGGTGCCTGCCCGGGATCCTCCAGCCTGACACCCCCAAACTCCCACCGGCCTGGGTCATCTTGTAGCACTTTCTGGTTAAATTTCCAGATGCACAGAACTCAGGGAGATGTTCTCATCTCACCTCCTCCACTCTAGTTACAAACACAAACTTTCACTTCATACTATGAATTTTAAACTGATCAGTGTCACATGGCATCAGTCAAATGAAATCTTAGAAAAGTGTCCCAAAGCTGACATATTGAGGAACAAGAAACATAGAAAGCATACCAGCAGACCACCAGCCTTTGGCCGTTTTAAATTCAGCTCCCTTACAAGTTAGACTTACGGCATTCCCTCGTCTGAGCCTTGTGTGCACCGAGTCTGTTTAGTTCAAAGTCTTGTAGACAGAAACAAATTAAATATTCATCAAAGGCCAGAGGTCTGGCAGCATGCACTCTACTATGTTGGTTGTAAGTGCCAGAGAAATTGCCCAGGAAGCTCTTGTCCTTCTCTCCTCGGCAACACAAACAGGGTCTTCAGTCTTGACGTCACTCACCCCACGGACAGACAGATGGCATCGGCTGCCACGGGACACAGCCCCTGCCCCTACTTCAACTAAAGCCACAGTGCAAGCACGCTGTCCAGAAACAATTATCCAACCACTTCCTTGTAAGGCCTGGGCAGTCCATCCCTGGGCACTGGTGTCAAGGGAAGCAATCGGCTCATATTAAGGCTCACTTACTCGGGGGTAAGTTCTGGTTTTCACTGACACAGAAGGGAAATATCAACCTCCTAGGAGATAAAAGCTGTTTCCCAGGAATGGAGTGGCTGTGAACATAAACTCACTGCAGTCTCAGGTTCTCGTGGACAAAGTGAGTGGAGTTCTCTGACAGCTCAACCTGCTGCTCGAATACAAGGTGTGGATGGTGGCAGGAGCATGGGACACACTGAGAGTGAGCCAAGGTTTGACCAGCACTGCTCAATCAGATGAAAACCATGGGGGCCCTGTGTGCTAGCCTGGTGGCTAACGTCCTTGCCTTGCAAGTACTGGGGTCCCATATGAGTGCTGGTTCGTATTTCACCTGTACCGATTCCCATCCAGCTCCCTACTTGTGGCCTGGGGAAGCAGTCAAGGATGGCCCAAAGCCTTGGGACCCTGCACACGGACGGGGCACCTGGAGAAAGCTCCTGGCTCCTGCTTTGGATCAACTCAATTCCAGTTGCTGGGGCCACTTGAGTAGTGAACCAGCATATAGAAAGTCTTCCTGTCTCTCCTCTCTGTGAAGCTGATTTTCCAATAAAGATAAATAAAATCTTTTTTTAAAAAAATGGAAACCAAGGGCAGCATGTGCTGTGGGAAACACAAGTGGACGTGGACGACAAGGCCAAGCTGCCCTTTCTGTAGTCATCGCTTCCCTGATGGTGGACTCCATCACGCCTGCAATGGAAAACACTTGGATCCTGTGTAAGGGACAAGACCAACAACCCTGACAGGCACTGCCTGGCTTCCTTCATCTGCAAGGAGCCAAAGTCACACAGATGCAGAAGGCCAGGGTCACACTGCCTTGCAGGAGGCTGGAGCCCACCTTCTCCTGTGCTTCCCACCCCCAACGAGGGAAAGTCTGCCCTGAGGCAGCAGTGAAGACACTGCACTGGACATCTGTACTCCACGCCCCATAGGAAGCTGTACACCCACAGAGGCAGCAGTGACGCCTTGTTCAAGGGGCTGGGTTGCCTCTGCCACCCCAACAGATTATATGAAGTCCCTAGCTCCCAGCTTTCACCTAAGCCGAGGCTCACCTATAAACAGGTGCTCAGGGAGTGAACCAGCAGCAGTAGCAGGTGACTCCAGGGGTGTCGGCATGGGTGCCAACCATCCCCAGAGAGGCCAGAGAGATGCCAGCTGCACCTGGCAGGTATGGCGCATGCACAGGATGCCGTATGGTTCTCTTCCTGCAAAAATGACAGCGCAAGAATGGAAGCCTGGAAACCACAGAGCTGGGGAGAGTAATGAAAGATGGGGCCATCTGTCACAAATGTAGGGTGAGATTGAGGATGATGGTACAGTCTGCACCAGGATGTGTGGGAACACGGGGACAGGATGATGGCTCTGACAACCCCGCTGGGCATTCCGCCATGGGGAGTGGTCTAGGCAGAGGATAGGCCTTGGGGCTGTTTTTTTTTTTTATTTCCTTGTCATAGTCTCCACTGTCATCGCCAAAAATCATAAACCATCTTAAAGAAATACGTGCATATGTGTGAATGGACAGATGGGGCCCTTTTGGAAGGTTCATGGAAACATGGTATTGGAAGCTGTTATGGAAAACTAAGGGTTGATTTCCTAAGTGTTTTGTATTAAAATTCCTACATTGTGTTAACCTTCATGTATCCCTAAACCTTTTCATGAAATACATATTTATTTATTTATTTATTTGGAGGGCAGAATTACAGAGAGAAAATCTCTCATTTACTGGTTCATTCCCCAGATGGCTGTAACAGCCAGGGCTGGGGCCAGGCTGAGGCCAGGAGCCACGGTCTCTATCTGGGTCTCTGAGGAGGTTGGCAGGGACCTAAGCCTTTGAAGCTGTCTTGTGCATGAGCAGGGAGCTGGATCATAAATGGAGCAGTCAGGACTCAAACCAGTACCCACATGGGATGTGAGCATTTCGGGTAGCAGCTCCACTCACTGTGCCACAAGGCCGGCCCCAGTCATGACCTTTACCCAGCCCTGGTGTACTCTGTTTATCATCTCTGCAGTCTATCTGAGAGCAGAAGGTGCTCAGTGGGGATGCTGCGGCCACTGATGGGCTCCAGGTGGCACTGTGGACAGCCTGCTCACAAGGGCAGGCAGATGCAACACCTGCCCTCCACAGGCACTGTGAGGTCTCCGTTGATTCACTGAAACAGCTGTGGGGCACCATCTGAGGGCCGTGAAGTCCCCCAACCTGTCCCATTCTGAAAACCTCACGCGAGGACTTGAGGCAGAAGGACTCCGGGCTGCACGAGGCACAGGAAAAGTCTGAAGCTGGGTGATTCTGTTTCCTGTGTTTATATGCCGGTCATGTGTCTTGCATTTTGCTGGACCTCCAAGGCTTCAAAGTATCCTGTGCTGACAGTCAGATCCTAGGAGTCAGCTGAGAATTGCAGCAAAACTGCCCACAATGGAGTAAGGTGCTGACAGGGAAAGGGTTTTGCTGCACACAATGAGGCCGTCCGTAAGAGAGCAGGAGGTTCCCAAGTAGAACCCACCCCAACTCCAGTCCCCACCAGGAGTGGCACCTGCCAGCCCAGGTGACTCCATTTTGTTCA